AGTAAAAAAAAAAAACAAAACACCCACATAAGGAGAAATTATATGCAAATCATACATCTGTTAATTAAAGTAAATTAAACATTCAAAAACCAATCAATGTAATTTACTACATTAACAGTTAAAGAAAAAAAAATCATACTATTAGCTAATAAAGAAAAATCATTTGACAAAGTTCTACTCCTATTTATGATTAAAAAAACAACTCTCAGCAAACTAGGAACAAAAATAAATTTCTTGGGCCTGATAAAGAACATTTACAAAAATCCTACAGCTTGGGGGCGCCTGGGTGACTCAGTCAGTTGAGTGTCCAACTTTGGCTCAGTTCATGCTCTTGAGGTTCATGGGTTTCAAGCCCCAGGTAGGGCTCTGTGCTGACAGCTCAGAGCCTGGAACCTGCTTCAGATTCTGTGTCTCCCTCTCTCTCTCTGCCCCTCCCTCACTCGCACTTTGTCTATCAGAAAAAATAAATAAATACTTAAAAACAATTTTTTTTAAATCCTACAGCTTACATTGAAATTAATGATGAAAGACTTAAGATCAGGAACAAGAAGACAAAGACATCCATTTTCATTCAACATTGTAGCACAGGTTCTAGCCAATGCAAAAGGGCAAGAAAAAGAAACAAAGTATCTACAAATAGAAAGGAAAAAATAAAATTGTTTTTATTTGTAGATGGCATGATCCTGAATATAGAAAATCCAAAGTCTTATGCCAAAAAAAAACTATCATAAAAAATAAATTAAAAAGTCTGAAGGTGGCTCAGTCAGTTAGGCATCTAACTCTGGATTTCGTCTCAGGTTACGATCACAGTTTGTGAGATGGAGCCCCCTGCGTCTGGCTCTGCACTGAACAGCACAGAGCCTCTCTCTCTTCGCCCCTACCTTGCTTGCGTGTGTGCACTTGCTCACTTGCTCTCTTTTTCAAAATAAACATTTAAAAAATTTTTGAAGGAGACCAAGTCAATATTTAAAACACTAATTCTGGTGTGCCTGGGTGGTTCAATTGATCTTTACACATCCAATTCTTGATTTTGGCTCAGGTCATGATCTCAAGGTTCCTCGGTTCCGGCTCCACATGGGCTCTGTGCTAACAGCAGAGCCTGCTTAGGATTCTCTCTCCTCTCTCTCTGTCCCTGCTCCTGTGCGTGTGTGCTCTCTCTCTTTCTCTTTCTCAGAATGGATAAACTTTAAAAGATTCTGTGTTATCATATAAGAAATTATATAAAATTAAAAATTAAATGTAAAATAAAAATTTTTAATTACAACATCTCCAATAGTATCAAAAACATAAAATACCTAAGGACAACATATGTGCATATATTATAACCTGTACCATGAAAACTACAAATCACTACAGAAAAAAATTAAGAAAATCCAAATTAATGGAGAAATATGACCTATCACAGACCGAAAGTCTCAATAACATAAAGATGTCAATTTTCCTCAATTTGATCTACAAATCAATACACTCTAAACAAAATTTAGGAGGCAACTTTCTTTTAAAAATTGAAAAGCTAATTCTAAAATTTACAGTGAAATGCAAAGGACTTCAAAAAGCCAAACTAGTTTTCAAAAAGAACAAAACTGTAGGACTTACCTGATTTCAAGACTTACTATAAAATTACAGTAATCAAGTCAATTCAGTATTGGCATAAGGGCAGCACAAAGATCAATGGAATGGAATGAAAAGCCCAGAACAGATCATGCATGTATGGTCAACTAATTTTTGACAAGGAGGCAGACGTAATCCTGCAGAAAGGGTAGTCTTTTCTAACAAAGGAAAAAAATCATCTTGGGATGGGCAAGATCTTTTAGATAGAACACTAAAGACACGAACAACAAAAGAAAAAATTGATGAAATAAAAACTCTTCCTTTACAAAAGAAAACACTAAGAAAACCAGAAAGCAAGGTTGGGGAGAAAACTACATATTTGACAACTTGCATCTACAGTATATAAAGAACATATCAGTATCAAGAAGAGAATGGGGTGGGTCAAAAAAACAGGCAAAAGATTTTAATAGACACCTGAAAGAAGAATAGCCAATGATACTATTAATCTTAGGACAACACAAATTAACTCCACAAGGAGAGATCACTATACTCATTAGAATGGCTAAAATTGAAAGAAATGACGATACCAACAGTTAGTAAATATGCTGAATGATGGAATTCTCATCAGTTGCTAGTGGAAGTGTTGAAATAACACAACCACATTAGAAAATAGTTTGACAATTTCTTATAAGGCTAAATGTACACTTAAGATATAACTGGGCAATTCTGTATGTAATTATTCACAGAAGAAAAGTTAAAACATCATATCCACACAAACACTTGTACGTGAATGTCATAGAAGCTTCATTCATAAAAGGCAAAAACTCAAACAACTCAACTGTGTATTAACAGATGAATAGCTAAGCAAATTAAAGTACAGGCCAGCAATGAAGACTACTTAATAAAAAAAAAAAAAAAAAAAAAGTACTACTCCTGCACACAACAAATTGAAAAAAGAAAAAACCTCAAAAATATCACCCTCTGAAATAAGCCAGATATAAAAGGACAAATATTCTATGATTCCACTCGTAGAGTCAAATTCACAGACACACATGGAACAGTGGTTACCAAACAGTTGGGGTGAAGGGAAGGTGAGGAGTTATTTTTAATGGATACAGGGTTTGAATGATGAAAAAGTTCTGGAAATGGGATTGTGGAGATGACTGCACAACAATATGAATGTACTTAATACCACTGCAGACTTAAAAATGGTTAAGCTGATAAATTTTATGTACATTTTACTATACACACAAAATCATCTCGCAGAAGGAAAAAAAAGCCAGACAGAAGAGGGTACATACTGTCTGGCCATTTATGTGGCATGTCACACAAGTAAAACTAAGCAATGATGACAAAAATCACATTAATGGCTGTCTGGAAGGAAGAAACAGACTGTAAAAGGTCTCAACATAACTTTTAAAAATGACCTTACATTTGCTAAAACTCACTGAAATATACACTTAAAACGTATATGTATCAAAAAATGCATACATATGATTGAATATAAGCTGCACTTCTATACATTTTAAAATAAATAAATAAGCTTGAAGAGGGAATGAAATGCAACAGGTAAAAAATTATACTATAGACTAGGGGCACCTAGGCGGCTCAGTCAGTTAAGTATCCAACTTCCACTCAGGTCATGATCTCACAGTTCACAAGTTCAAGCCCCACGCAGGGCTCAGTGCTGACAGTTCAGAGCCTGACGTCTGCTTTGAATTCTGTGTCTCTGGTTCTCTCTGCCCCTCCCCCACTCACAGTCTTTCACTCTCTCTCTCTAAAAAATAAACATTAAAAATAAATAAATAATAAATAAATACATAAAAGAAAATAATACTACAGACTCTAGGAAGGAGGCTATGTTGTGGTGTACAAAGAAGGTAGTAGCTGAAAGGAAACATGTGGTCAGAGGAGTATTTTATTTCTCAAGATGAAAGACAAATGATTGTATTTAATGACAACAGGAAACCAGTTATTTGAAACCAAGCTAAAAATCCAAAGATAAAAGAATACAAAAGGTAGGAATGTTTTGTTGCCAGTGTTTAAGGAATATGGCACTTCCCCACTTCAATATAAATGAGTCTCGTAAAAGCAAGTGAAAATGGTTTGGGCAGTATGAGTAGAAACAAGTAGACTGAAATATCCAATAGAGGAAACGTAGCAAACTCAAGAAACCTAGAACACGTTATTCCCATGTATCTGTACATTAATGGTAAATACAGTAATAATGGAGTTTTCTAGCAATATAAGCAAATTTATACTAATACCCTGTAGTAACATACTGACCCTCTACCAAGAAACCAACTCTGAATTCTCATACCCTATATCCTAGCCCCCAAAACATCACTGATGTTATCCTTTATAACTGCAATTACATGATTTGGTAAGGTAATTATTTTTTAAGTTTACTTATTTATTTTGAGAGAGAGAGAGAGAGAGACAGCCAAGTGGGAGAGGGGCACAGAGGGAGAGAGAATCCCAAGCAGGCTCTGCACTGTCAGCACAGAGCCCGATGCAGGACTTGATCCCACAAAACACAAAATCATGACCTGAATCAAAACCAAGAGTCAGATGCTCAACCAACGAGCCAGCCAGGCACTCCTAGCAAGGTAATTTTTTAACTTCAGTCTTTTTAGAAAAGCTTCCACAAACATTATTTTATGGCCTTGACATTTTGAAACACTTCATACAGTCATCTTTAATTAAAAGTAAAGACGGAAAAGATCTATTTCCAAACATGCAATTCAAAGACAAAAATAGTACTATTTTAATCAATTTTTAGGTATGGCCTTTCCTTAAATTTGACTTTTACAATTTGTATTAATACATTCCTCTATATACATTTTCATTTATTAAGTATTTTAAGACCCCAAAACTGGATGTGTGTGTTGACAACTAAGTCACTCCAAGTAGATATGCTTCATACATATCATTAATAAACTGAAATATTAAAACCGAACAGTTACAAACTATCATTCTCGAAATTCAAAATCCCTTACTTTGAATCCTGAAAGCATCAGGAGTTAGCAGAATGACCACAGATATTCTTGTGATGAACTACAGTAAAGTCAATGTTCATTTCTGGTCAGATGCTAAACCAAAACCAAAGGTAGTTGCTATGACACTGATTACAACATATCAACCTATATCAACAGCAGCGCTAAACTCCTACATTTTCCCTTGTGATAGAGGACCACTGCACATATGTGCACCAAACAATTTGGGAAATTAAATACACAAGAAAATGTAAATTGGAAAGTGGTTTGTTCTGGTTTTTCTTTTTTTACTTTTTTCCTACTTTTCTTTTTTTGGGGCCACAGAATACCTTTTTTTCTAAGTCTTTGCTTTCATAAGATCAATGATACAATGACATCAAACCATATTTTCGGTTTCTATTTTCAAAAAATTGTCTTATATAAGAATACATTTCATATAAGATTTTATCTCACCTGGCCAGTTCTTTAATTAAATTTGCAATGCGTCTTTTGTCTTCGAGACATAAATCCTTCAATGATGCACTCTTTATTCCTCCCTTGCAGAAATTCTAATACAAAACAGAAAAATCTTTTGGTTAAACTTTGGCTAAAAACAATTTTTAAGACTCTATGAGAAGTCTCTTAAAATTAGCCCAGGAGGTAAAAAATTTCTCATATATCTTTTCTCTGGTGGTACACTCATTACCTGTTTCATTCAAACCTACTATGAACTCAAAACAGGCTAAGGAACTGTCTGTCCAGCAGGGGACATCATAATGTTTATACAGAAAAGCATACAGGAAGAACTCAAAAGGCAGAAATGTCCCTGCTTAAATATTAGGGAATATTAAGGAAACAATGTTCCCTTGGTGAATGTCACAAAACAAACACCTACTGGAAGTTACTGAGAACCTTTCCTACATCACAGCCCCTAGGCTGCTTGAAAGCACACTAAGGTTGGCAGCAGAGGCACCAGTTTCTAACCTCTCAGTATATCCTAAAGTTCATTGCACTGGGTACTAGACCAAAGAATAATAAAAGTAGCTAACACATACCTCGTGCTTACTGCATGTCACGAACACTGTAAGTATTTTACACTTACTAATCCATCTCACTTTCACAACAGTGCTATTAGGTAGGTATTATTTCTATTAACAGCAAGAGTACATATCTTGCCTAGGATACCAACAGTTAAAGTAGCAGAATGAGTATGTGCTCTCAACCACTGAACTATCTCCTCCCTCTCTTGTGCTATAAGAAGTTCTCCCAGTACTTGAACATCAAGTACTTGCACATGAACATCTTTAAAGCAATGAAACTTAGGGAACCACAAGGAAACTAGAGGTAACATGTAAATGGAAGGAAACTTTGGCATTTGAACAACCACAAAGTAGATTAGTCCAATTTCTTCAGGTAGCCAAGGGTAATCCAAGACCTCTAAAATGAATCCTGGAAATACTGATAGTCTCAGATGGGAAATACTGATAGTCATAGATGGGGAGAAAAAGGAAATTAGATCAAGGAGATGGTAAAAAAAATGAAAATGAGTTTGGTTTTGGTCAACTCAAGATGCCAGGAGGATAGTCATACAGAAATGTTTAGGCAAGAAGTTGGAAATGTGGGTCTGGCTCTCAAGTCAGAGAAAAATATAAAAGATTTAAACTTCAGCCATACTGTGGGGGCGCCTGGGTGGCTCAGTTGATTAAGTGTCCAACTTCGGCTCAGGTCGTGATCTCGCAGTCCCTGAGGGTGAGCCCTATGTCAGGCTTTGCGCTGACAGCTCAGAGCCTGGAGCCTGCTTCAGATTCTGTGTCTCCCTCTCTCTCTGCCCCTCCCGTGCTTGCTCACGCACTCTCTTTCTCTCTCTCAAAAATAAATAAACGTTAAAAATTTTTTTTAAAAAACTTCAGCCATACTGTATTATGGATGATGTTTAGATTTTTATTATTTTCTTTATACTTTTCTATGTTCTAAATTTTCCTTAAAATTAAGAAAAAATATTAGTTTTTAAAAATTATCTACAAATCCAAGATAATAAATTAAAATTGGTATTTGAAAGGACAAGATGAGAATCAGAAGGATATAATATTGTGGGAGAAAAAGAAACGTTTCAAGAAGAGTTTGGGAACAAAAAAACTACACAGAATGTGAAAGAAGTCACTCCATTTGGCAATGGAAGAAGTTGCTGAAAACACACGAGAAGACATCTGGGAAGACATCTGAGTAGCGGTGCTTTGAGTAGAATAAACAAGAGAAACCCCTGCACGTGGGCAAGAACCTCAGCAGCATTGTGTTTAACGCACTTGAAAACACAAATGTTGTCAACTAAAGAATAAACTGTAGCATATGTATACAATGGAATTCCATAGGCACGGGTTGTTATACTATCAATTGGCTTCCATCTTCAAACCCACCCTTCCAGGCTCTGCTTTGTGATGCTGAGGCTGAGACTCAGAAACCTTACTTCTTTGCCACATGGCTCTCTGTTAAAATCTGCGAACAGGAAGAACAAGAGGGAGACCAGAGGTTGTCAGAAGAAAAGACACTGTCGTCCCTATTGGCGTCCTGTTCCCACCCATGTTCTGCCCCGCCCCGGGCCCAGAGTGTACCCTGGCAGGCACAGCAGGCTGCGGTTCACAATTTTCCCAGCCCTGGCAGAACCAGCCTTTATAGCATGTCTCCTCAGGAACAGCAGTACCACTGAGGCTGGTTCCCCCTCATCCGAAGTCCAGGTTCCAGCTCTCACGGGCCCCTCCGTCAAGCTTCTAGGTGTTAATAACTGCAACTTGCTCTGGCTGTTTTCCTAGCCCGAGAGATGGGAACTGTTTCTTGCAGTTACTGCCTACATGAAATCTTGATGAGGTCTGTTTGCCTTTGCAATTTTCCAGCACCAATTCAGCGGGTCTTTATATTAAACATGCTCAATTAAAATAACTAAACTCTGACTGAAATATCAGTGAAAATAAATGACATAATTATATAACATAAGTAAATTTCATGAACATTAATATTAAGCAAAAAAAGCAAATGATGCAACATAGTATTAGCTCATTTATATAAAGTTCCAAATACATATAACACTGAACGTTGTTTAAAAAACAATTATGTATTAGACTATATAGGACAAGGGTTGGTAAACTACAGCTGCAAGCCAAATCTGGTTCACTGCCTATTTTTGTAAATAAGGGTTTATTAGAACATAGCCATGTATGTTAATTTACACATTGACTCTCTTCAATATACAATGGCAGAGTTCAGTAAGTGAGACAGAGACCACATGGCTCACAGAGGCTAAAAATATTTACCATCTGGCCCTTTACAGAAAAAGTTTGTCAACTCCTGACATAGAAAAACAAAAGAATGATGGGGCACCTGGGTCAATCAGTCAGTTAAATGTCCAACTCTTGATTTCACCTCAAGGGAACCAGGTTGAGATTCTCTCCCTGTCTCTCTGCCCTCCCCTGCTCACTCTCCCTCTCTCAAAAATAAATAAGTAAACTTTAAAAAGAAAAGAAAAGAAAAGAAAAGAAAAGAAAAGAAAAGAAAAGAAAAGAAAAGAA